ATACATCGAATACAGCCATTTTTGGCCTCCCAAAGCCCTGTCCCTCCATCCCATTTTTGTGAAAAACAAGCCTTTTTTTCAAAAATGGAGGCTTTTTTGCCTTACCCCAGCCCTATTGAAGCCTGCAGAGTGCTGCTGGGGACTGAGGGAAGGCAAAAACATTTTTCTTACTCTTTGAAATCTTGGTGCGTCTTATACACCGGTGTATCTTATAGTCTGATTTTTTATAACTGAATATCTGGGGGGGGGAAGATAAATTATATAAGTAACTATGCTTAATTTGCATAGTGGTTCAATTTAGGAACAGCATATTGTAGAATCTGGATTATTATTAATTATATATAAAAAGTATTCATATATATATCATTGTTTAAAAATTGTTGTTTATAGTAATATAAATGAATACAATAAAAAGTGAAATGAACTTAATCTCACTACCTTTCAGATGGCTCCGCCTCTGCATTCAAGCCAAGTGGGAAGCTGCCATCCCTCTAGCTCTAAAGATGGCTACTGAACAAGGCCGCATGAAATTTACTCGTCCATTATTCAAGTAAGACAAATGTTTGTCTTTGTGTCAAAATGTTTTAGCCATTTTCCTGATCATTGACTTAAATGTCACTTTTGACTTTTTCAAAATCATCAGTATCAGAATTATAATGCAAATATACAATTCCCTTATGAACCATTTTAATGTGGAATTTGTAGTAGCTTCTTATTAGTATCTTTTCATATACCAAACAATACAAATTTCACACCCTGGATGTTGAAGGAACAAGAATTACAACCTTTTTTATGAAGCTGGCATTGCTGTTTTATAATGTCATTTTTACAGTTAAAATCATTAATACATTAATACCTAAAGAATAGCTGTTATTATAAGATCATATAGGACAAAGGTGTCAAACTGGCGGCCCCTGGACCAGATGCGTCACATGCAGGCCACGGCCACCCCAACTCATGAATGGGGAAAACATCGCAAAACATCGCAACAAAAAACATCGAGTTTTTAAAATAATACTGTTACTAAAGATCATGTTGTTGATCATATTTGATTGAAGCAAGCAGTCTAACAGGCAGAGGAATCCAGTGAGGCATTTTGAAAATGTTAATTAGACTAGCTGAAACCTTGTTTTGTTTTATCTATCACTCCATTTTGGGATTTTTAAAATAGTAGGTGTATATACATACTTTACATAAATAAAGTAAATTCTGCACATTAGGCAGAAATGTAACTAAGTAAGTTCAAAAACAGTTCATGCAAATCTTCTCCTATTTATCATGTAGCACTTTTCTCAAAACTCTTGAATATACTCCCAATGGAGTAGATAAACTATGTGCTCTTAGTTCAGAGTGCAGTTTTTATTATGTGGAACACTGTACTGATAATGAAAACAAAAGCACTGAAACCATTTTTTTTTGTTATGTGGGATTTTTTTATAGGGATCTCTATAAATTTGAAAAATCACGTGACCAAGCCATCAGTGCCTTCCAGCTGCACAAAATATCTATGCATCCAGTGACTGCAATGTTGGTATCCAAAGATCTGGGCCTGGAGGGACAAACAGCCTAACTTCTGCAGAGTTCATGGTGCTGACCTTGTATAAGAGAATTTTGCTATTCCTCTTCACTCTCTTGCCAAAACATACAAATAAAATCATGGTAGATCTCATTTGATTTCTTTACATTGTCTTCTGAACCTGGAACAAAAAAGCTCTTCTACGTTTTCTAGAGCTTTGCATTTCTGCTACATACATGTTATGCAAAACTGGAAAAAAAAAACCTATATTTTTCTACACTTCGCTACATTAGTTCTACTTTTACCACAACAAATACAGGTACTAGTGGACTTTATTGAAACTATGCTCTTTGAGTTCTACCTGCAATATCTTTTTATGTTGGTATACTTAATAATGTAATCATTGATTTCATCAGAAGAGTGAAATAAACAATGAACAGATAAAACTATCTGATTTATATTCTTTCTTTAACAATGTTGGTATAACTTTCATGTCTGATTCATGAGTCAAATCATCTTTAAAATATAAAGGCAGAAATAATTAACTGGTTTATTTATATTTATAAGATTTATGTGGTATGGTGGCTTGCTATGGTGGCTTTGGGTGATGTACAAAGATTAAAACGCAAAACCCATGGCACATAACTCCTGGAACTCAGGATAAAACAACTATCTTGTTCATCTAGAAATGCAGTAGAGCTCATCTAACCTCCTGACTCAAACACCTGGGCTTTCTGCCTTGCGAATGGCTAACAGAGTCAGGGCTGTCTGAATCTTTAGAGGGATGCTGTTCTGTAGGGCAGGTACTATAGGTACACGAATCAACTTAACAGCAGTCTATTTAGTGACTGTCTGAAGTTACAAAGGCATTGAAAAAAGTGACTTATGATCATTCTTCACACTTAACAAAGCATCCCCATGGTGACATGATCAAAATTCAGACTAGTTCATATTTTTTTAATTAAAAGTTTTTTTATTTTTAGTTTTCAAAACAGACACAATACAAAAAATCCTCTTTCTTTNGCACACAGCACACACACATTGCAAGTGGGTTGTGAATCGGCAATAACGCCGGCAGCAACCCACCCCTGCTATGCAGGCCTACCTGAACAGTGATGGCAGTAAACATAACCATCTAAGTCTCTTTCTTGAAACAAAATAGTAATAAATATAAAGTATCTGTTTCTTCCAGTTGTCTACGGAATCACAACAGGCTTTGGGAAGTTTGCACGGACTGTTATTCCAAACAGTAAGCTACAGTACGTCACTTTTATTTCTTTCTAAACTCTGTAAAAGCAAACTGTAAAAATATAGACAATTTCTAAATGATCAGCCTGAGCCAAAGCTATTTTTAATGTAGTGAAATAATTTCCATAGTTTTAATTTTTTAAACTTTTTTGCATTAAATTTAATTTCATAATGTAGTTTGAACTGACTATTTTCTGCTCTTTTCTCTCTGAGGGAGCTGCAAGTGAACTTAGTCCGGTCACATTCTGCAGGTAATGGAGGATTCATTTCTAATTATTTCATAATCATTTTTACAGTAATTTTCATCCTGATAATCTTGAAATGAACATTTTCATTTCAGGGGTTGGGAAGCCTTTGATTCCAGAGAGATGCCGTATGCTCTTAGCTCTGAGGATAAATGTCTTAGCCAAAGGATATAGTGGACTTTCATTAGAAACTCTTCAGCAAGTCATTGAAGCATTTAATGGTAACACGATAAGTGTTTTCCTGATTTTTTTTTTCCAGACTTCAGTATTTCAAATACAATTGTTATCCTTTGGAAGGAAGTAAAGTTCCTACTAACAAGCAAAGAATTTTCTATGAAAAAGGGAAGACGATCTTTCTCTCTTCTCTGCCTTTCAATTAGTGGATTACACTTTGAATAAAACAATAGAATGCTAGAGTTGAATCATGTTTGTCAACATCAATATTATTTATATCCTGTAATGCTCTGACATAGTGGTAGCCACATCTTTCAAGTAGAGAATACATGGAACACAGGGTTCAATTGTTTGTTTCTTGGAGCTTGTCTGTTTTCTAGCAGAAGTTTTATTTCCCATCCAGGCAAGATCATCATGACTTTTAGTGGCATTTAATATCTTTTGCTGAAAGGAAATATAATAATAGCAATTATTATATATTCAGTCATTATAACTCTGTCAAGAACCTCATTTTCAGCACACTTTAAAAAGACAAAAACCTTCCCTCCTTTCCATCTGCCACCTGAAAAATGCAGGCTAACACTTTCCTCTCACCCAAGTAACAACTCTTTATTGGGTTTACTGATGGATTGTGGGGAAGACAGGAAATAATAGCACTTGAGGTGCTTTGGGGAATTTGGGTGGGGTTGATTCCACAGCAAGATTTAAAAAGTTGAGATGGTGGCTATGATTAAAGTTCCATGTGTTGTTTTTAAAAATTGTGTTCCCATCTTGACTTATTTCACCATGTATAGTAGACGCCTCTGTAACCTAGGATAGTGGTAGTGAATAGAGAAAGCTGATTCTATGGTCCCTGCTGAAAGGCAACAGGGTGATTTTGGTTTGCCTTCCTGCTCAATGGGAACTATCATTAAAGTGCTCCACTAAAGATGAGGCGACAAAATACTGTATCACAAAGAGAAGCTCTAATCAAAACAATTTTCCTCCTTAGCATCCTGCCTGCCTTTCATTCCAGAGCAAGGGACTGTTGGGGCCAGTGGAGACTTAGCACCTCTTTCCCATCTTGCCTTGGGACTCATTGGCGAAGGAAAGATGTGGTCCCCAAAGAGTGGATGGGCTGATGCAAAATATGTAAGAGAGATACTTTCTAATGTATTGTAAATGGTACACAGGGTGATGGGAGGGACCATTAAAAGGGAAGAAGGTTATTTTCAAACTTTTACAGTAATGTCATAGAATGTTTTAAAAAATGATATCCTGGTTCTATACCTTCTTTTAAAAAACAAAGGCAAGTATGTTGCTTCTAAGGAAAAAATCCAAAGGATATATTTGGGGAATATCTTTACTACACCAACAGACCACAGGTAAGACTTCATGACCTCAGGTCTCACTATCAAGCAAGACACTGCAACAAGCAGGCTGGAGGTAAAGTGACACAAATGGTTTTAAATTCATAACATCTGCAGGGCCATTTTCAATGCTTCCTACATTTTCTGTTGCATTCATGAATGCCTATGGGATGGCCATGAAGATGAATCAATTTTGACTCCTAGTTTTTAAGAAAGGTTTTTGTCAGCCTGAATCTTCCATCTTTTCTGTTAGATTTTAATTAAGTTTAGTTGAGTTGAGTTTATTGGTTTTGTATGCTGCCCACTCCCAAAGGACTCCGGGCGGCTTACAATAAAAGGGGAAGGGGAATAAATAAGACAATACAACATTTAAAATACAACAACAGTAACCATTATTGTCCACAGTCTGTGGGAAGGTTGTTCCTAGGACAGAAAATCAAGTAAGTATTTGAACTCTTCTGTACCTCCAAGTCCATTTTGACTCTTAGCACCCGCCTGGATAAATCAGCTTTCTTAGTTTTTCAGAAGCGGTTTGAGAGCAAATGATTAGCCAAAATTATCCAGTTGGTTCCATGCCTAAGACTCTTATCTTTTGATTTTTAGCTTTGTGCCTTTAATAATTATATCATACTGGCTATCATCTTCATATATTCTAACATAATATATTTGTAGCCTTTAAAACAGAGGCCCCAACCTTTTCAGCACCAGGGACTGGTTCTGTGGAGAGAGATTTTTCCATGGACCAGAGGTTTTGTGTGGCTTTGTGTGTTGCCTGCATCTTGCTTCACTTGT